AGGACCACGGGATGAGGCGATTGGTGTACGAGATGGTGGTTTGTAGTTTCCGAAAGCAAAGCCTGTGTCTCCAGGGTTGCTTCCGACATAGTTGGGGCGCGCCCAGGGAAAGAAGCAGGCAGCGGCGTTGTGGCGCCGCCCACCTTGAGGTTATCGATGATGTCCTGTCAGGGAGGTGTCCTTGCTGTCCGATTTACCGGGCACGATGATCATGGACACGGAACGCAAAAATACCTGGATCATCGTTGCCGAGCGCGGTGGATATGATGAGGTAGGGGGAGGCGAAGAAGAGACGGGCGGAGGTGCCACGCGGGCGACGGCGGCGAAAACGGTAGATCGGAGCTGTGTTCCGCTGACACCTATGAAAACGGATGATTGCGACAACTGTGTTTTTACGCAGTGTGGGCACGGGTGTTAACACGATACTAACACGAGCACGATCGGTTGCAACCGGCCGTGCCCGGGGCCAACTGTCAGCGGGAAAATGGAGAGGATTGAACAGGGCTAAAGGAAGCAAGAACACTTGATAGGCTACCGTTCGAGGAGAGGTTCGAACTGGAGGGGGGAGAAATTCGCGGAGCGGCGAGGGGGGAGGGAGGGAGAGAAGGAAAGGGCCCTCCGAAGGGCGGGCGAGGGGAGCGGCGGCGGCGAAGCGCACGGCTACGTACAGCGCTGGGCCGCTTTTGGGGCGGGTGCGCGGTGGGAGGGCGAGCTGGACAGCGGTAGCTTTAAACCGATCCCACGACCCCTCCCGGCACCAGATTCCAGACTGCGCCCAGCCGTGGCAGCGGGGGCCTCCCCCGAAGGCCACCTGTCGTTGTCTCAACTCGCCCTCCCCTGAGGGGGGGGGGCCGAACCCCTGGCGCCCGGGCGCCGTTTGGCAAAGAGGGCGGCGAGCCGTTGCCGCCCCGCCAAAGGGTTGCGGCGAGATTTCTGGTTATGGTTTAGTTCCCGATGTCGTGCTTCGTTTGTGGGCTGCACGTCAGATGTCAGGGGAGGAGGGAAAGGTAGGAAGAGGGTGATGATGATGATGATGATGATGATGATGATGATGAGGAGGAGGAGGAGGAGGAGGAGGAGGAGGAGGAGAAGGGAGAGGAGGAGGAGGAGGGAAAGGAGGAGGAGGAGGAGGAGGAGGGGGAGGAGGGGGAGGTCGACATGCGTATTATCTTGCACAGCTGTGTTCGGGAGCTCGAACCTATCAATTTTCGCCGTGGTCTTGGTTCGTCTCCTCCTCCCTGGAGCGAGGAATCATCCCTTCTGGGCCGCGGAACCTATCCCTGGCGTTCTGGCCTCCACCTCTGGCCTTCTTGACCTCACCCCCCTGGGCCGCGGAACCTTGCATTTTCGTCGTGGTCGTGGTTCGTCCCCCCATTTGGCCTCCCTCGCCTCCCCTCTCTGGGCCGCGAGACCCACGATCCTGCACCCCTGGCATTCCTGACCTCACCATCCTGGGCACCAGACCTTGCATGTTCGTCGTGGTTGTGGTGGTTCGTCCCCTCCCCGGCCTCCCTGATCTCCCCGCTCTGGGCCGCGAGACCTACGGCCCTGGCCTTCCTGGCCGCATCTCCTGGGCCGCGGAGCCGTGGATTTTCGTCGTGGTCGTGGTTCGTCCCGCCAATCGGGGCCTCCCTGGTATCCCCGCTCTGGGCCCGCCCCTGGCCTTCCTGGCCGCCGCCCCTCCTGGGCCGCGGAGCCTTGTATTTTCGTCGTGGTCGTGCCTCGTCTTCCCCCCCCCGGCCTTCCCTCTTTGGGCCGCTGGGCACATGCTTGACCTCATTGGCCTCAAGCCCCTTGTATGTCCTCCTCCTCTTCCTCCTCCTCCTCGCCTCCATGGCCTCGCCCTCTGGGCTTCTAGGGCGCGGAAGGCCACACCCCTGCTGGGCCCGTCTTGTCGTGGTTCGTCCTCACCCCTGGCCTTCTTTCTCTGGGCCGCGGAACCCACCCCTGGCCTCCATGGCCGCAGCTCCCCGATTCGTCGTCCCCTCCCTGGCTCCTGGCTGGCCCCCCTGGCCTCCTCACCCCTGGAGCGAGAAATCACTCCTTCTGAGCCGCGGAAGCGGTAACCATCCCCTGCAGGGCTGGACCTTAACGTTGTTTCTCATGTTGTTTTCATTTTGTTGTTCGTCTTGCCCTACCTGTTTTCCTGCACCTCCCTCCTAAAACGAAAAACTAAACAAAGCCGAAATCCAGCGAAACATCGTTGAGGTCCAGCCCTGATCCCTGGCCTTCCTGGTCTCCCCCCTCTCCCCCTGGGCCGCGGAACCCTGCATTCTCGTCGTGGTCGTGGTTCGTCCGCCCCCCCTGGCCTTCCTCGCCCCCCCTCCCTGGGCCGCAGCTCCCGCCCCTCTCCGTGGCCCCTTCCCCTGGCCCTGGCCCCAGCCCCCTCGCTCCTCCTAGGGAGCCCACAAAGGACGTACATGTACATGAGCACGGCCCCTCGATCTGCGAGACCCGCCGCGTGATATGATATGAACATTCGCGCAGTGCGTGCTCCCGAAACCGGCGTGGATTCATGTACCTGTACGTCCTTCCTTCACTCCCTGACCTCCTGGCCCTGGAGCCAACCGTGCTCGTGGTCGTGGCTCGTCCCCCCCTTGGCCGCAGCCCGTGGCCTGCCCGTGACCCTGGCCCCGCCCCTCGCCCCACCGACCCGGGAGCCGTCCGGTGTCTTGCCCGGCCCTGTGCTGAAGCTCGGAGCCCTTCATGTCCGCAGGCTTCGGACTGCCTCGTCTTCCCCGTGTCCTCGTGTCGCGTCGTGCCGCGTCGCCGTGGCCTCCCGTGGCCCCCCTGGCCCTGGCCTCCCTGGCCCCCCTGCCCCGCCCCGCGTTTCGGACTCCGGCCTTCGTCGTTCACCTCGGGCTTCCCTGACGTCCGCTTGTCCCTGGGCCCCCCCCCCCCGCGCTTTGTCCTTTCCCTCGCCACTCCCTCGTGCCACGGCCAGGGCATGCGCACCGTGTGTTTCCGTGATGGCTCGTCGTCGTTCGTCCACCCTCTCCTGGCTCACCCCGGGCCTTCGCCCTGGCCGCCTCGCTGCCTGGCTGTGGGAGAGGCAAGGCACACGGGCCACCTGTTTTGGGGGCGGGCTGATTCCGGTCGGGACAGTTGTCGTCGGCACCACCATCACGAGGACGTGGACGAGGAAAGACAAACGAAGGGGAGGGATAGGGGAAGGAAGGTTCGCCTCCGACGGCGTCGAAAGGCGTTGCGCCGCTTTTGGCGGAGAGCGAAAGGTGGACTAGTAGAAACAGTAACCCTTGGCCCACGGCCCGCCAAATCGATACCTTCCCTTGGCAATCCGATGCTGTGGCCAGTGAAGGGAGGAGGAGGAGGGATGGGGGGAGAAAGATGAGGAAGGGCTATCGGCGCACCTCTGAAACCCCTGGCACTAAGGCCGTGGGAAACGCCGTGGCTTCCACCCCCACGGCCACAACTAAGAGAACGCCACGGGGGCGCCGGCTCAGGGATGAACCCGTGCCGGCCCCAAACACTCGGAGGAGGACGACGACGGGGACACAAGCGCAGAGGGCGAAACGAACGACAAGGTGACTGGCGAGAGGAAAGGAACTCACGTCAGCGCGCTGGCACTCGCGCCCGCGCGCTGGCACTCTGTGCCAGGCAGGAGAGGAATATAGATGCCTCCTCGATGTGGTCGGAGGATCGCGGCGCATCGCGGATACATCGGCGATGCATCGTCAACGTGGGCGATGCGTCGACGTGACGACAAGCAGGCTCCACATCGAGCCGCATCGGCGATACATCGGCGACGCGGCGAGATCATCCAACCACATCTACTCGGCTCCCATCTGGGAGGCCTCGAGAAGAGCGCGTGGGAGGGGGAGAAGGACGAGGCAGAGGAAGTCACGCAGCGAACAGATGCGGACCAGGGGGAGGGGACAGCAGAAAAGCAGCAACCAGGCATGAAGGGGCGGGCGGAGGCACTCGTTCTCTAGAAAAAGAAAAAAACGCCATCAACACAATTTGTGGCGCTCCGCGCGGATTTCGTGGATCTGCGCTGGACCCCCCTCCCTGGAGCGCGGAGCGCGCCAGAAGCGGCGCCGGAGGCGCCGCCGGAGGGGCCCAGGCGCGGATCCAGGAAATCTGCGCGGAGCGCCAAAAGTTTCTGCTCATGGCGTTTTTCCTCCTCCGGTTCTCGTCACGTGGTGGGCGGTGGTCGCCGAGCGTCTAGCGGAGGCGGGGTCGACGGCGGGGGCGGGGGGGGGGAGTGGCGGCTGCCCGGGGGCTCTTTGCTGGCAGCTCACACGGCGTCCGCCTGTCAGGCCGCCGTGGCCGCCGCCAAACGCGCGGCCGCTGCTCCCGCTCGCGGCGGGGGAAACCCCCAAGATGGTCTCGGTTAGCTCCAGGAACTGAGGAACAAGCAAATTGCCTTTCGAGTCCCAACATTTCCAGGTTTGGGCGCAGTGTTTGGGCCCGTCGGCGTCGCTAACAAGACAGGTGGCGGCGGTGACTCGCCGGGGGCGTCTTCGATAATCATTCGAAGTTTCCTCTTGGGCCCCCAAACTGCCCTCCCCTCTCGAAAACCAGATAGGACAGGTGGCGGCGGTGACCCGCTGGACGCGTCTTCGATAATCAATCGATATTGCCTCTTGGCTCCCCAGACTGTCCCCCCCCTCCCGATACCCGAAATGTCAATGGAACGTTTGTGTCGCGCGGCAAATCCTTCTAATGTAAAATCTTGGATGGCCCTGATCGATGGAATATCTGGGTGCTTAATTCGATTTTGAATTCTGTCTTTTCTTCCCCCCTGAATGTGAGTTCTCGGAGCACGTAATTCGTCAGAGAAACCCTGGGGATGCACACTGCGAGCTGAACAATCGTGCTTGCTGCCGCCGCCACCATCGTAATCATGGTCCTCGTCATCCTCCCGCCTTCAAAGAACATTTACACACTCACACCAAAGGCCCCCTGCATCATGAAACATGCTGCTGCACAAGGGGCAGGCATAGGTCACGCGGGTCGGCGGTCGTCACAAGGAGAACCCCACGATGGCGCCGACCGCGCCGAAGACTCCGGCTGGGCACGCCAGTGAGGAGCACGGTGCAAGGCGAGCATGGGAATAGGTGTGGTTAACATCCACAGTAATAGTGCAAGGTAAGAGTGCAAGACCGTTGGGTGTCCACGTGGAAACTGTTGCAGCGGCGTTGGGCGAACAGTCCCAGAATCTCTGGCAACGGATGAGCAGAAGAGACACGGATGCCAGGTCAGCCATGGTACTGAAACCGCTGCATCCTTGCACGTGGAGCAGATTTTGGCCGATTGGGAGTTCTACTCCGCCCGCACTTCGAGATCGGTATCTGGTGTGTAAGACAATGTGCTAGCGAGGAAGCGGATACGCGGCGACTAAATACGCGCGACCACGTTCGACCAGCGCATGAACACACCTGGACAGCGTAGATGCAAAGAAAACTTGTGCGCAAAGACAGTTACTGGTCCATGCTTGCTACGAGCCACCCATCGCAAACACTGTCCTTCTACGGAATGGACCTCGGCACGACATGTGTGATCGACATGTAACGACGGTCGTTGCTTAACCCCACGGGAAAACAGACACATTCGATTGGCGGGAACTGGTGGTTGAGAAATTGAGAAAGCATGGGAAAGGAGGGGGAGAAAAAGGGGATGGGGTGGAACAAGTTTCGCAAACGATGGTGGGGAGGGGCAACTGGGAGGGGGATGGACGTTTATGGGGGGTGGGGGAAGAGGAGGGAAGGATAAAAAGGAGTAATGTGAAACAGGGGCTGGGACGAATAAGGGGAGGCGGAAACGCGGGGGACGGAAAACTGTTGAACGAGAGAGGATGGGCAGGTTTCGGGGGGAACGACGGTATCTATATCTACATACACATATACACATAATAACATCGAAAGAAAGCAGAGCGGGATCAGGAGGAGGGAAGGATAACGCTTTCACTACGCCTACTCCATCCCTCGGGCCCCGGTCCTCCCCAGGCGCCCCTTCTCCCTGAGGACTGACCGCATCACAACACAACACAACACACCTACAAAAGCAAATGCCATCACAAACGCGCGCGCACGAACGCACACTCAGTTACACAACTACGCAGTTGCACTGTTACACACCACGCATCACACATACAATCACCACGCACGCAGTTTTCGGTCGTCCGCGGGCGGGCGCAATGCCGCGGCATCCAAAAAAGTCGCCGACGCGCGCGCGCCAGAAGGAACGAGAGAGGCCGGCCACTGACGGGGCAGTGCCAATGGCGGCGGCGGCACCCGGACCGGCGGGAGCCGGGGCGAGGGCAGGGCGAGCGACATGCACGCACGCACACGCACGCACGCGCGCACGCACGCACGCACGCACACACAACTTGTTTTTTGCGTCGGCGGCTAGGCAGACAGTGATTGCGCTGGCGATGAGAGGCTGAAGCGGGGTTCCCTTGAAGCGAGCTGTGCCACCACGCAAGAGGAGGAGGGGGGAAATGCGCTGCCGAAGGAAAATAAAGACGGGGCGGGCGGCTCAGAGGTCATAGCGCTCCCCGAACGCACAGCGCGGCCGGCCCCGCCGCGGGGCACGCGGCGGCCGCTGCGACATCGGGCCGGGGATAGGGGGGCCTAGCGCGGGAAGACGAGTCCCGGGTGAAGGGTGCGTAGCGAAGGTGTCAAAGCCGAGGCAGCCCAACCCCAACACGGGTGCGATAGGAGCCGCGAGGCTGTGGCGCCAGCAGCAGACGGCAAGACCGGGCCCGGGCCCGGGCCCGGGGCCGGCGCGGGCGCTGGCGGCTGGCGGCCAAGGGCGGCGTTAGCGGGGCCGGCAATGCCATGGCGGCGCGGAGCGAGGGGTGGCGAGCGCGGGAGCGGGGAGAGCGAACGGGGAGGAGGACGCCCCTGCGGGCCCACAGGTGGGGCGGCATGCGCCGGGAGGGCGGCGCGCAGCGGGCGGCGCGAAGGCCGGCGGGTGGGCGGGCACCGAACAGCAGGCGCGGGAACGATGACGGGTGCGCCCGCCGGCAGGGCGGGGGGGGGGCCCGCGGCGGGCGGGGGAAGCCGCCGCCGCCGAATGCGATGGCGCGGCGCGAAAAGGCGCAGCGATGCGAAGCCAGAAGGGGCAGGGCCCCGGAGACGGGATAGGGGCCTGCGCGCGGGGGGCGGCCGCGGGGGGGCAGAGAGCCCCGATGGATCTAAAAGCGCCAAGAAAGGGGGCCCTGCATGGGGCCGTCAGCGGGCGCCCCGTGCCCAGGCAGACAGGGGCCGGCCGGGGGAGGGGGCGGGCTGGCCTATCGCAGTCGAGGCAACCGCGACAGGCGCGCCGAGCGAAAGAGAAGCCTGCGCCCCGCCCCGCAGCGGGGGGGCCGGCGGGCTGGCGGCGGGCGGGGCAAGCCAAAGGCGCGGGGGATGGGCGAAAGGCGAAGGGATGACTCAGATGAGGACCAAGTGCGGACGCGGGCGGGGGGGGGCGCCCCGCGGGTACACGGGGCGCTCGAAGGCGACGCAATCCGGTGGCTTGGGACAAGGCGCCTGATAGATGCAGGCGCAGAGGTGTGGCTCTGTGCCGAGGCAGCCGGGGGCGCGGTGGTTCGTTGTCGGGCCAGGCGGGGTCAGCGCGTCGCTTGCCTTTCCCTGTCGGGTCTGGGGCCTCGCCCTTGCCCTTGCCCCTGCCGGCTGGCTGTCCGACCCTTTCTGGGCGTGCGCCGCGTGCCGCGTGCCATTGACGCGGAGTCCACGTTCGCGGCGCAGCGATCGGGCGTCGACGAAGTTCTCGCTGCGCACCCGGCAGACGGTCTCTTCGCAGGCGTCGCCCTGTCCGCCTGGGCCACGAGTCGCGCCCCGCCGCCCCGCCCGCCGGTCGCGGAGCGCCTTCCAGCCGACGACAAACATGGTGCCACATTCCTTCTCAAAGTCGGGGAACGATCTCGGCCCGCGTTTCGACGCGGTTGGCTCGGTGGCCCCATGTGCAGCCCCATCGGATATTCCTGCGCGGCTGGTTGTAGAGGCGGTCGCGGGGGTCGGGGCGGGGGCGCGCGGGGCGCGGATGCACGGATGTCGCGGGGGTCGGGGGCGGTCTGCGCACGCGCCGGAGTCCGCTTCTCTGCTGGAGGAAGCGGGGGGGTCGGAGCTGCCGTTGGCTCGCTCCTCGGTTCGGGGTGTCTTGCGGGCGCGTTCACCGTCGCGTTCAGAAGGCTCGCCCCCTTCGGTTACCAGACCGACGCGAGCGCCTGGGCAGGAACTGGTGTCGATTACTTCTCCGGCGTCACTATCGCGAGGGGCGGGCGGTTCGGGGAGCGAGCGCTCGTGCTCGTCAGCAGGGGGGGCGGGCAATGCGTCGGGGTCGACGTCGAGTTCGCTGCGCAGTGAGGGGGGGCCATCTCGGGCGTGGCCCCCCAGCGCAGGAGCTCGCGCGGGCCGCGGGGCGGCTCGGCGGGGGCTGGCGCGATGTCGGGCAACGGTGGCGGCCCGTCAGCGGGCGTTGTCGGGCTCTTGGGGGCCTCTCTGGGGCTCTTTTGGGACGGCTTGGGCCCTCTTGGGGAGCCTCTTGCACGTGTGGGGGCTCTCTGGGGGCGTCTTGGGGCCCTCTTTGGGCCCCCCCTTTGGGCGGGCGCTTCTGGGCAGTCTTGACAACAACTGGCGCCGTCTCGGGGCCCTCTTGAAGGCTCTTGGGCCGTCTGAGGGCGATCTGGGGGGCCGTCTTCGGCCGTCTTGGAGGCTAGATATGGGAATTCGCTAAATATCTACGTTTTGCTCCGCCGACCCCTTGTGGGTCTCTAGGCGTGTGAGATAGTTCCCCCCCCCTAACCCCCCCCCTGGGACCCCAAACCGGAGATTTGACCCCCCCCCCCCGGGCCGCAGACGAGCGCACCACGGGGCTCTTTTGGGCCCAAAAGGGGATCAAGACGGGCCAAGAAGGCCCCAAGACTCCTCCAAGACGGCTCACGAGAGCTCCGAGGCGCCAAACGAGCGCTCCCAGACGCCCAAGATGCCCCCAAGACGAGCCTATAGGCCTCCAAGACGGCCCAAGACGCCTCCAAGAGCAGTCCTCAGAAGGGCCGAAGCGCCGAAAATCGTCAATTCCTATGGGAAAACGTACATTTTGATCACATACTACTTCTCGGCCTTCACGGCGTTGAAGACGGTCCCAGAGCACCCCAAGACCGCCCCGAGAGGCCCCCAAGAGGCGCCCAAGTCGGCCCAGGAGGGCGCCAAGACTGCCCAAGAGGCCCCCAAGACAGCCCAAGAGGGCCCCAAGACGGCCCCAAGAGGTGCCCAAGAGGGGGAGCCCGAACCGACAATCCGAGCCTTCCGCCCCAAGGCGGCCCCAGAAGGCCCCAAGAGGCCCCAAGAGGCCCCCAAGACGCCCACAAGAGGCCCCAAGAGGCCCCCAAGAGGCTCCAAAAAGGCCCCCAAGAGGCTTCGAAACTGCCTCCAAGAGTCCCGCGAAAAGCCCCCCAAGAGATCCCAACGATCACCGCGCAAGTCTCATATCAACAACCCAGGCACGGTGGCGGGGTTGCGTTTGCGCACAAAAAAATGATTCGCGCTCTCGAGGCCAAGATTGCTCCAAAACGGCCCAGGATGGCTCCAAAACGGCCCAAGATGGCTCCAACACGGCCCAAGAACGTTCGAAGACGGCCCAAAATGGCCTCAAGATGGCCGACAAGGCTTTCACTATCGCCCACGAAGTCTCCAAGAAGACCCCCAGGACATCTGAAAGAGGCGCACATTACGCATGTCATTACATTTCCATTGCGTTGTTGAACATGTTTGCAATTGTTGCCTTTCCCGGCTTCCGTCGGCTCACGTAGCCCAAAGAGCCTCCAAGATCGCCCCACGGCGCCCCAAGAGGGCCTCAAGACGGCCCCAGAGAATCCCAACACGGCCCAGGACGCCTCCCAATTCGGCCTAAGACGACCCCCAGACGGCAAAACCTGTCTCCAAATTGGTCCCAAGCTGGTGCAAGACGGCCCTAACCCAAAACCCATAACCCAGAGCCTTGTTTCTGTGTCCCCTTCCTCCTTTTCCTCCTCCTCCTCCTCCACCTCGGCCGCCAGGTGGGTTCAAAACTGCTTTCCAAAGGTCCCCGAGAGGCGTGCCGCGAGATCCCTATACACATACAACAAGTGTCTAACCAATAGCACATATCCCAGAGTTTCGTCTCTGTGTCCCCGTCCTCCCCCTCTTCTCCTCCTCCTCCACATCCTCCTCGCCCACTCCTCCTCTTCCTCCCCCGCCTCCTCCTCTTCCTCCCCGATTCTTCTCCCCCCATCCTCCGCCTCACCCCCCATCCCTCTCTCCCCCTCCCCCCTGTCCTCCCCCGCACGCGCGCCCCCGATTGGGCATCATTTGCAGGTCTTGCATATCAGGGTGCCCTTTTTTGCATCGCGTGCGACGTTGGCAGGGTTCGCGGAGAACGCCGACGTCGGTAGTCTTCTCTTGCACGCGCCGCCGCACTGATACGCCTGGCAACTGCGGGCTGTGAACCCGAGGTTCCGGCAAGACCGCCAAGATGAGGGGTCGGCGGATGTGGCGTAAGCCTATAGAATATCTACGTTTTGCTTGGGGATTGGAGCAATGTTTGCCTCTTGAGACCTCTTGGGGGGTCCTCTCGGAGCCGCCGTGGGGCCACTTAGGGGCGTCTGGAGGCCGTTTTGAAGTCACCTCGAGCTGGCTGAAGCTGCCTGGAAACCACCTGGAGCCATCCGGGGGCCTTCCTCGCTCGGCTCGGGCTCCGTTGGAACTGCTCTGGGGGCTCTGGGGGGGGGGCAGCTCCAGTGGCCCCCCAGTCGGACGTTGGCAGAACTGGGGTCAGCGGGACCTGAGTTAGTGACGCGCACTAACGCTGACTGGTTTGATTTAGTGATGTGATTTAGGTTTGATGGGACCTGGTGGGGGGGGTGGGGGGGGGGGGGGGGGCAGAACCTTGAATTTTTTTTTTGGACCTGATTTAGTGATTTAGAATTGGGACCTGATTTAGTGGAACGCCCCCCCCCCGCCCCGCTCCACTAACTGGAACTGCCGCCACCCGAGAAAACGCCAGCTACGGCAGACCTGGTTTAGTGACTCTCGCCAGTTCAATGGCTCCGGGGTCCTACCACTAACCGGGCCCCCTTACTTGATACTAAAAAAATACCCCCCCAATGGTCAAACAATACTCAAAGAACAGCGTCCCAACTATTTTTGACAATTTTCGAATATCCCTCCTGCAGGGGGACAGGCCCGACTTAACCCTAATGGGGGAACTGTGCAGCCCAGGTGCCCCTGGTGGTCCTCGGCCTGGCGCGCCCCGCAGGGCCAGGTTCCTGGCATACGACAGACACGCCCCCGCTCCCTCCCTCCTGCCCGAGTCCTCCCGCCCCTCCCCGTCGAGAGCACCAGTCCAGGATCGGCTCTGGCCGTGGCTCGGGCGTTGGCAAAACTGGGTTTAGTGGGACCCGGTTTAGTGATCTGTACCGGGGGGCGCCCCCCCCGTCTCATGTCCACTAACCGGAACTGCCGTCACCCGAAAAACACCAATTACGGCAAACCTGGTTTAGTGATTCTGGCCAATTGAGGAGCCCCAGGGCCCTACCACTAACCAGGTCTCCTTACCCGGGGTCCTGGCTATACCCGAGTGGCCAAAGGTTCTCTCTCGGAGAGAGCGAGAAGCCAGGAGCCGCGATCCAGCCTGATTCATTTATAAGGCTTCGCGTTTTCACCAGTTCCAGTTCCAGTTCCAGCTCCAGCTCCAGTTCCCTCCCCTCCCAATCATCTCACCAGTTTTGCCTCCTCAATCATCCCTCCTCCTGCCCTCCATAGCAAGTTCCAGGTCTCCCGCTGGGGAAGGGGGCTGTTCGAGCCGCGCTCTTGGAAGCGTCGCAGCGGCTCGGGGCCATGGCGACGCGCGAGGCGCCATGAAGCACGTGGCCACTCGCGCGGACTCCGCGGACCTTTCAACTCGAGGGAGTTCGGCAGCTGGCTGTCGGCCTTCTCGGAGGGCCTCAACGTGGAGAATGCCGAGATCGTCATCAACGGCGGCGCCGGTGACACTTCCGCGCCGCCGCGTGTCGGAGGGGCACTGGACGGCGTGTTCTACATCGGAGACGGCGGTGACGGCCTCACAGAGGCCGAAGGCGAAGCCGAGACCGCGTGCGAGGGCTACCTGGCCGCTGCAGGGCTCGGAGGGGCAGACATCACTGTTCCAGCGAGACTCGAGACTGAGCTGTGGCGTCGGAGGACACGCTCGAAGACATGCATGACTCATGACTGGGTCCCCCAGGCCGTGGAGGCAGACCAACGAGCACAGGAAGACGGAGCGGCCCAAGCAGTCGGCGCTGGAGGAGGTCCCCGAGATGATGCCGAGCCAGCCCAGCGCCGCCTTGCCGAAGGAGCTCAAGTTGTCGAAGCTGGAGGTGGTCCCAGAGTCGATGCTGAGCACCTCGGATGAGTATCGCTTAAACGATCCCCATCCCCAGCGGCGTGGCCTGGGCCCCGCTGGCCGATTTACCCCCCTAGACGGGGATATAGGCCGTTCCCTTCGGGTTTCGAGGGGTGTATCCCCACCTGGGGTGGTAATTTGGTGGGGGTCTCGAAGGGGATGAGGATGGGAATAGGGGTCGGTTAAACGATACTGAGAGGTGGTCCCAGAGTCGATGCTGAGCACCTCGGAGGCCGCAAAGAAAGAGAAACACACGATGAAGGCCCCGCGGCGCCAGGAAGGGGCGCTGCAGGAGGCGCTGCCGAAGAAGTCCCGGGTGTCGCCGAGCTTCCCGCAGGAGGAGCCGCAGGAGCTGGGGAGCAGCGACGAGGAATGGGGGAATGGGGCGCCTGTGGAAGGCCGTGGAGCCGCCGCGGGAACGGATCGGGGCCAAGCCGAAGATGGAGAGCAACGAGCGGAAAACGGCCGATGGAGGCCGCGACCGTGAAGTGCGAGCCGTCGGAGGCATCGGATGGGGCCCCACCTGTTCGAGCAGACGGACCTGGAGCTCGGGCACCTGGACCAGCAGCCGCGCCCGAAGAGGGCCAGGGAGGTGAAGAAGAAACGAGAAGGAGGAGAAGGTGGTCAAGATGCAGCGCGACTGAAGCGTGGGTACCATGGTCGAGGAGACCGGCAGCCTCAGCCTCAGGCGCCCGTTTGACATGGTGTTTGGCTGTTGGAGGCTGGTCATCCAGTACCAGTCCGAGGACCTGCTTGAGGACGCCAGCAAGCCCCACGAGGACACCCAGAGGATCAGCGCCGCCAGGGGCGAGGCCGCCGAGCTCTACCACGAGAGGGCCGCTCGGCGCGGAGCACATGGCAGAGCGGGAGCCGAAGCAGGAATAGGACAACATCGTGGTGAAGTCCAACTCCTGCCTGAATGAAGGGCGGTGGAACCGTCAAGGGCAAGTACCGCAAGAAAGGTAGCGGAGAGGCAAATCCATCGAAGGGTGAGATCTTCGACATCGGTAAGAAAGCCGAGCCATAGGAGGCGAGAGCTTTGGAGGAGCAGAAGCAGGGCGCGGGGGACACGTCCCGCGCTCTGGAGCAACTGGCGCGCTGCCAGGAGCCAGGCACCCGTGAGCTGCTGGCGCAGCTCCTGGGCGCCAAGGTGCTGCGCTTCCTCGACATGACGGCCGAGGTTCTGAATGCGGAGGGCGGCTCGGGCGAGATCAAGATCTCCAAGGCCGTGGTCGGAGTTTTGGGGTTCTGGGGAGGACGGTCTCTCCCTGGGGCCGCCTCTGGGTTCGGCCTCCCCTGCGTGTGTGGGGAGGCGGGTACCCAAGTGCCGCCTTTGGGCGCGGTCTGCGGTGCAGGCGCCAAGGGAGGGAGCCGCCCTCCCTTCGAGGGACGCGAGGGAGCATGCTCGATTTCTGGTATACCCTGATCTATCCTCCTGCCATCTAACCCCCCCCCTCCACCTCCCTACCTCTGGAACGACGGGTTTTGGGCTCCCTGGTGTCTCAGGGCCAAGTCGGGGGCCTCTGGGGCCGTCGTGGACACCCTTGAGCCCGAAGAAGCGACTATGGAACAAATACGCATAAGTTTTCCATTGGGAATGTGCTGATTGTGGCCTCTGGGGGCCCACTTGAGGATGCTGATTGGAGCTCTCTTGGGGCATATCGGGGGTCTCGTGAGCCGTCTTGAAGCCATATTGGGGCGTCCTGGAGCGCTCTTGCGGCCCCCTTGGGGCGTCTTTGAGGCCACTTGGGCCTCTTGGAGTGTATCGTGTGCCCCCCGTTGGGCATTTCTGGGGCGGCCTGAAGCGGTTCCTGTGCTGTCTGTCCTGGGGCTTTCTGGGACCTCCGTGGCACGCTTCTGGGGGCTCTGGGGCTGTCGTAGGACCATCTCGGGAGTATCTGGAGCCGTCTTGGACCCTCGTGAATCCCAAAGAGCGAATAGCTCCCAAAGAAATCCGTTTCTTCGAAGATGATGCGATGTTGGCTTCTGGGGCTGTCTCGGGGTCCTCTTGTAGGCATCATGGGGGTCTCTTACTGGGCCGTCTTGAGGCCGTGTTGGGTCGTCCCGGAACGCTCCTGCGGCTCTTGGAGCGTCTTGGAGACTTTTTGACCATTTGGGGGATACCCATGGCGGTCCCAGGGTCCAAGGAGATCCGTAGGAGGTCCCAGGAAGGGGAATTCACAAGGGAGGCCCCATGCCCCTGGCCACTAGGCCAGGATCTCCCATACATATGTGAGAGACAGAGAGAGAGAGAGAGAATCAGCACAAACAAAAAGAGAACATGAGAAAAGGAGAGAGGGGGAGCACGTTTGGGGGTAGGAAGAAAAGTGGCAAGGGATACGGAGGGAAGGTGGGGAAACCATCCTCCTCCGCCTGCTCCGCCTCCTCCTTCCTCTGCCCCTCCCCCCTGCGTCCCTCCAAAGGCAGCCCCTCACCGCCGCGCCGCCGCCTGAGCGCCCAGGCCCGCAGGAAGCCTGTGCGAGCCCGGCCCTTGGAGCGCGCGCGCGCGCGCGACGCGGCTGGCAGCCCGCACCCCGGTGGACAAACCTCCCTTTAGCAAACCACTCTTTGGTGGAAACGGCCCAGGACCGAAACCGACGGACCTAGAGGGCAGAAAATACACCCCGATAGTAACCACCCCGACACGCGAAGTCAGCTGCTTAGCAAACGCGACCACAGAAGGAATCGAACAGGGCAAGGCTGTTCAGTAAACGCCCAGGGCCGTTTAGGAAACGCCAGTTGTCCGGTCCGGGTGGTTTTCCCTCCCCCGAGGGCCTGGCACCCGCAGACACGACGGCCGCGACGCTCTTTCGCGAGCCGAAAGCGGCCGATTCGCTGATCGGCTTGTCGGGGTAGGGAGGTCTGTCAACCCTCCGGCCCTCTGCCGCTGCCGCTGCTGCTTCGGGCCTCCCGAGCGAAGGACATCAATCAAGGGGCAAAAGGACACACACACATAAATATACACGAATAACAGGATTCCCCGTATTTTCATATACTTTCTGGGTTTTTGACTTCCCACCCACTTCCCATAGTTTCCCATATTTTCTGGGGAATCGACGATTCATTATGTCTGTATGTTTTTTCCTTCCTGAATCAACCCTGAGATCCTGGCGCCTCGACTTCTCGGGCCAGGCGTTCTCGGACGGCTTCGAGCCCTGGGGCCCTCACAGATCGAGGCGGCCAGGAACAACAACAAATGTGACAAAAAGATGGGGTCCTAGATCTCTGGTCTTGATTGTTCGCGACGTTAAATCATCTGCAGCGCAGGATCTCGGAACAAAAAAAACGAGACAATGTATACGAGTCCAATTTTTAGGGGGCCTCCAGGAGCGTCCGGTCCTTTTGCTGTACGTCTTTGGTCGTCGTGGCGGCCCTCGTCGTCGCCGCCGCCGCCGTCGTCGCCGCCCTTGTCGACCAGAGGGGGCGCGGTGGGGGCGGCGCGAGCCGAGGGTCCGCGGCGTGGCCGTGGGCATGTTCTGGATCGGGGGCACCTCGGCGGCGCCGCTGATCGGGGGCGCGCAAACATGGATCAGCGATCCATGGATTTGTCGCGCGGTCGCCAAATCCATGTACCGGGGGAGGTGCCCTCCCCAGAATGCGGCCGGTGCCGCTCCACTTGGCGGCGGAAATCCGTGACTTCAAATGGAAGCGGGACCCGTCGCTAATCCACGCCCCCTTGATCCGTGTTTGCGAACGCCCGAGCTGAGCGCGGCGCCTCGCTGGGGCCAGTCGTTCCCCCCCTGTGGGCCTGCAGGGGCTGGGGGAGGGGAGATGAAGGAGGCAAGAAGGCGGAGCGAGCCACGCGAGCATGCCTGTCGGCTGTTCGGCCCCGTGCAGGGCATGGGTGAGCAATCCGTTTACCAGCCGGACAACCAAGATTGTGAAGCATGAGCAGGATATGGTGCGGGGAGCGGCGGCGAGGACGGAGCTGGGAGGATCACGGCGGGGAGGAGGGAGGACGAGCAGGAGGATGGGGGAGGGAGGAGGATGAGGATGAGGTGGCTGGGGACAAGGACGAGGGAGGCGGAGTGGAGGGAGGATGGATGGACTGACGGACGGGCGAAAACCAGGGAGGCGAGCGCACCCCCAAAGAAGTGGATGGATAAGAATGCCGCTTTCTCTCAGAAGAGCGCTTCGCGTCCCCTTCGGCCTTGGCTCGAGTGAGTAGAGCGGCCGTTCGCTTGTCGTGGGGGGAGCCGTTGGTGCAACAGAGAAAGAGTGCGGAGCCGACGCCGTGGTCTGAACATCGCGCGCACCTGACAAGCTCAGGTCCAACTTGTCAGCAATCAGAGTCCTCTCGAGGACCTGTCGGATTCGCATGTGGGGTCGAAGACCTCGTCGGGAACGCCTGAACCCATCCAAGCCTTTACGCGTTGGGTTTACACATGCCCCCGCAAGCTTGAATGCTCTCCCCTGGCATCACCCCGCCCACACGTTAAACGTTGAAACTCCTGCTCGCGGCAAGCACCGCCTGAAGCCCTCGGAATTTCAAGGGCTTCGCCGGCCGTCGCAACCAAGAGGTGCCCCTGAGGATCGCGCAGCAAGCTCAGAAACCACGCAAGCGCGCCCAGCCGCCCATCGGCGGATCAGACGTGTCAGTCAGCAATCAGCATTGCTTGCACTGCAAGCCCAGCTCCAGATTGCGCCAGAGATGCCACGATCTCCCTTGCCTGTACCTGGCGGGAGAGAATAGGAGGAGGAGAAGGAGGAGGAGGAGGAGGAGGAGGAGACGAGGAGGAGGAGGAGGAGGAGGATCTCCGTTGCTTGTCCCTGGCGAGAGAGAAATAGAAGGGGGCGCGCCCCCACCGCAGATAATTTCTGTAGAAAGGGAGAAGCGCACTCGCGAGCTTCAGGGGAGCGTTAGCTCTCCCCTCGTATAGCTCCACGCGTTGAAACAAGGTGGGGTCAGGTCGAGGATGACACTCCAGGGCCTTTTTCCCATGCTCGTCAACCGCGCGGCTGGCAAGCGCGAAACGCCGATCATCTTCACTCTCCAACGCACTTATACCCTCGAGCTCCCGGTGAGCCTTCACATGGACGGTCGAGCAGGATTCACTGCAAGGCCACTCACACTCATGAGCAAGCCTTGCGCACTCCGTCAAACTCAGAAACTGGGGCCAGCTGCTGCCGCTTGGGCTGCTGAACTGCTGAGTAGAACAGATCACAACTTCGCAATGAAGCGCCAAACTGGATGGGTCGACCTGCAATCTTCCCAGAGAGGGAGAGCCGCAGCAGCATGCTCAGCCATGGCGGGGGGCTTCGGATCACCACCAGGCACGATGCCCCGAACAGCCGCAATCATGACTGCGGCGCCAGGTTCGAGGAGCGCGATTCGCGCGGGGGAGGCCTCGGAGGGATTGCGTCATGCGCGGGCCGTCGGCAGGTCGACGATGTTTAACTCCTGCCCCCCACGAAGTAGGTAGGGCGCGCGGGCCCACCATGCCGCAGCGCTAAAACAGACTGATAACTTGTTGCACATGTGATACCCCCCCCGCCCGCCGAAGACAGAGGACGGAGGGTGGGGTGAGAGAGGTCGAAGCTCGAAGCTCCTCTTTTCCTCAGTGCGCCTGGATCGGGGCGCCGGCGTCGCTCGCGACTGGCACGCCCGCACGCCCGCCCCCTCGGAAGTGAACGCACCCCTCACAACATCACACAACTCACCCCTCTCGGCGTTACCGCGCCGTGCTGCACGCCTGAGCGCCTCCACGTGGGCCAAAAGGCCACACCTGGAGAGGTGGGGGTCGTCCACGCATTCGAAGGGCCTGGGAGGGTGGGGTCAATAAGAATGAGCACCAGTTTGGCCACTGAGCCAAAGGCCACGGAACAGCATGAGCACTGTGGCAGCAAGAGAAACACTAGGACGGCACCCCACCCTTGGCAGGGCTCCTGGTCGGGGGCCTTCGGTGACCTGGTCCGCTTGAGGGTTAAAACTGAGGCCTCAGTTTTAACCCTCGGAAGTGGCAACTTGAGCCACGATTTTACTTGAGCCACTTGTGGCAGCTTCACGACATCGTGCACTACAATCCAGTACGGCCCAACGCCGCCCAACACATGTAACAGTTATCATTTCTTTTACTTGGCACTAAAAGTCACGATAACTTGTTGCACATGTGATACCCCCCCCGCCCGCCGAAGACAGAGGACGGAGGGTGGGGTGAGAGAGGTCGAAGCTCGAAGCTCCTCTTTTCCTCAGTGCGCCTGGATCGGGGCGCCGGCGTCGCTCGCGACTGGCACGCCCGCCCTGGCCGCGACCCGACCCAGCGTACGTTCCAAAACTCGGCCCCAAAATGAAGCACACTGTCCCCCGCCCTGCCCAAGAGAGCCAGGACGGCGAGACGTCAAGCACGAGCACCGGGAGCCTCGTCCTCGGTCTCGCCTCGACCCGCCTCGGCATCGTCCGACGGCGGCCTGTCCGACCCAGAACCGGAATCGGATGACTGCGAGGACGAGCTGCCTTCGCCACGCTCGCCGCCGGCGCCGGCTGCAGCGCAGTCCACCGGCCAGCCACGCGAGGCCGCGAGCCGGACGCACTTCCTGCAGGCGTCTTGCAAGTCAGCGCGCCCCTCGTGGAAGGTGAGGGCCGACTGTGGGAGACCTCCGAAATGCCAGCCGCACAGCGAGCTCCGCTCGCGGGGCACTCTCGACTCGCACGCGCGGGCCCTCGCGACATGAGTCTTGCCGAGAGCGTAGGAGACGAGGCGTAACCTCTCCTCCCTCTCCCGCATCCTCTCCTCCACGAGGCGCCCGACCAACTCCTCGAGGCCGATCGGGCCAGCTGCGCCGCCCTGGCGCTCCTCCTCCCCGTCGCGCGCCAGCGGGGCATCGCGCGCCCCGGCCGCGGCCATCGTCGCAGGCCCCGGCTCCACGTTGGCATCGCTTCGGGCCGCCCGAAGCGCCAGAGACCGTGCCTGCGGGGCCCGCGACCGCGCGTCCTCGACGTAGCGCTTGACGGCGTCGGAGCCCCATCGGCCGAACCACACGACCAGCCACTGCTCGACGCCTGCCGCGGCGAGCAGCTGCGCGCCCATGCGCCGCAAGGAGTGGCCGTTCACCTGTCCAGCGCCCTCCGGCACAAGCAGCGCGCGCATGGTCGCGACCGCGGCCCTCTTGACGACCGCGTAGCCGGCGGCGTCCGCGAACAATGGGTCGCAAGGCTCCGCCTGGTCAGCCCGTCGCTTCTGGAGCTGGGCTCGGACGACGCACACTGGGCAGATGGCTTGCCACTCCGGCCTGCACTGGCAGATGCACGAGTGCACCCGGGTGCATCCGCAGCCCTGGATATCCTTCTTCGTGACGCCCAGGTCCACGGCAACTGAGTCCGTCTCCTCCAGGAAGCGGACGCGCTCGATTGTGAGGAGGGCCACCTCGATCTCCCGCAGCATCCACCAAGTGCCCACAGTGATGAAGCGACCGGGCTCGGTCGGACCGCCCTGGGCGTGCGCTCGCTTCACATGGGCCGCCACCAGCCACGACTCCAGGGTGAAGACCGCCGCGTGCGTCGGCGGCCCGAGGCCCCTGATCGACGCACGTCGGCACCCTCTCATCACACCGTGCAGCCTGACCGACCAATCGTAGTCCTCCTCGACGCGCATCTGCTTATACCTCTCCAGATAGCACGCTGTGGACCTGTACCCGGCCGCGCGCAGCGCGCCGCCGATCCTGCAAGCCTTCTCTGGCGTAAACGGCAGCAAATCGAAGCCGCCCGCCCTGGCCAGCGAGACGAGGGCCTTCGTGTAGCTGTCCATCACGGGCCTCGTCGTCACCGCCAGGGTGGCTTCCCTGAACTCTGCGGCGGCGGCAGCGGAGCGCTGCGGACATCCGATGACCTGCAGCGCCCCTGCCAAGCAGGCACGCTTGGCTGGCGCCGCTGCCGCCGTCTCATCCCACCTTCGCCTGGCTGGCGCGGGTCCCGGGCCCAAGAGAGCATCCGGTACCCCGCCGCTACTCCTCTCCTCCTCCTCGCGGCCTCGGCGCCCCTGCGCGCCGTCGACCCGCCTCGGCCCCTCGTGCAGCGCGTCGGCGGGAGCGTTGACGACGCGGATCACTCGCGGGAGGCCCCGCTCCAACGAGCCTGCGCCCTTGTCGCGCCCAGGCGGGGAGGCATCTCCGATAGCTCGCCTGGCGGGACCTCCGGCGCGCCTCCGCTCAAGGCGCCGAGCGTGGCTCGTCGCGGCACCGTCGCCCGCCAGCAGCCTTGTCCAGCACCGCCCGCGTGAGGGCCATGGAGCGCCACCACGACCCGTCGCGCGCGGCCACGGGAGTCCGCGTGCACCCAGCCTGCCGCAAGACCTCGGGGAGCGCGAAGCGCCCGCCCGGCTCGAAGGCCCTCGACAGTGCGTCCGCGACGTCGTTGAGCTCGCCCGGCACGTGCTCCAGCACGTCGATGCCGTACCGACTCTGCGCCACGTCGAGGGCGATCTCCCTGGCGATCTTGTTGATGGCGGGCGTTGGACTGGCCATCTTACCAAGGGCCCCGAGCGCCGCCATGGAG